AAACAAAAAACCCCCTAGAAGCTTACAGGAGTTCTTATATTTATGCTATCTCAACATAACTACTGGGTCTTCCCTTAAATTGGGAGTGTAGGTAGAGACTTCGTGGCCCACATTCCAGGTCCTTTAAGGCTGGTGGTTTCAGGGAGCAGCAGGAGCAGGACAGGCTGGCAGTTGAGGATGGCACAGTCAGGGCTTTTCCTGGCTCCAGCACAGTCCCACGGGATCTGGACACTGCAGGTCACAGGGTCAGGCCAAAGAATGGGACGTGTCAGGCCCAGGGTCCATCCGCTGGTCTGGGCAGGAGCAGCAGAAGAGCAGAGCTGCTGCTGCCCTAGGAGGAGGCTAGAACATGCAGCAGGGGATGGAGCTAGGAGGGATGGGCACAGCAGAGCAGAGCTGTGGGCTGGCTCTGCCCGGGGCTGAGGCTGTAGGCATATAACTCTGAACAGCACCACTCGCTTGCCTTACTGCTGTGCTGAGTTCCCTGGATGCTGCTTCATGGGATGTTCCTCTCGTGTGAAGGTCTTGTAGGAGCCTCTGGTGCATTCGGTGCAGATCCTGAGGCACAGTCAGCACAGACACTCCTGTAGCCCCTTGTGGTGTCGGTTCCTGCCGCAGAAGACAGATGTTTGTGTTCTCTCTTGCAGACATGGAGTCTGGGGAGAGGTTATCAGCATCATCAGCCTCCTCTGCTGCAGCTGCTTCCACTCCAGCGGTGTCGGCGCCGTCGGTGGCTCCGGAGGCGTCCAGGGGTGGCCTTTCCCCTGGAGCTGCAGCACTGAGCTCCACAGTCAGCACGTGTGGTAAGAGTGACTCAGTTCTATGCTGCGATGGAATTCTAGTGTTTGTCAACACGTGTAATTGTTATTACGAGTCAGATGTAATAAGGTTGCACAGATGCGTCAGAGGGTTCTTGGGGTTGCTAAGCGACGCTTGTTTCCTGTGAGTACATTTCACGTAGTACTTATTTATTGAAGGAATGAAGTGAATTTAAAATTGCCTATTGAAAATGTGGAAAACAATCACAGTTTGCAAGGCTGCCTTGAAAGCAAGGTTCAGATCAAGGGCTGATCTAGCAAACCCAACACCACTATCAACTGCTTGAGTGTACATGATGTTCTCAGCATTCAGGCCTAACCTGTGCTGATGTATTTGGAGGAATAGCTGCTTCTAATGGAACTTGAGACTGAAAAGGTGAATTTCATAATGTCATGGTCTTGGATAGTCTTGAGTAGAGTGAAACATCTTGTCTTGAATCAGAAACATATGTGGAAGATTTCTCCATGCAAGAATCTCATTCTTGTGAATGAAACTCGTATTTTAACTGAATGATGCATATGTCATTTGCACAACAAGAAATGGTAACTGACTCTTCCACACTGTCTGTCTCTTCACTCTTGGAGAACAGATCTTATTTTCGTTAGGCTGGTTCTTGTAAGATAGGTAGTAAATAGGAAGTTTTTTCAGCTTAAGTTCGTGGTAATCCACTGCTCTCAGAATGAACTTGGTTCTTGCAGTAGAGTGAGCAAAAGGATATTATCCAAACTGAAAAACTCTTCTGTCCTGACACTACAGAATCAATAGATTCCCAGTGCCCTACTACATCCTACAATTGTTCATTTGCACCTGCCCTGGGAAGAAAAAGAGAAACCAGAATGTCTTTGTACTTTGAGTTACATCTTAGCTGTTATAATTTCTCTAAAATCAGCCCGAAAAGTTCTTAACTTAAACTGTTTCAGGACAGGTAACAGCATGTCTTATTTTTCAGTGCCCCAGTACAAATTCAACTCCAAAATGATTATCTCTGTCCATTAGCCCAGTGCCAGGTAACGGTCCTCTGGTGGTGCCCAGAATGCAGCAGGAGTTCTTTGCGCGTGGCCAAAAATGTGCAGCCCCAGCCTGGGGGTTTCTGTGACTCCTTTACCTCTCCTTGCTGCCTTTGCTTTGTAGGTGTTACAGCATGTGCTTTTGTATGTCCTGTAATGTCATGTATAAAAATAGGATCTGTATTTGCTCTACCGAGATATGGTAAGGCTGAATAAAATGAATAATGTAATAAAAATACAAACCTGTCAGTTTTGTTGCTCATTAGAAAACCCAGGGAGTTCTTAAGGAATTTTAAAAACTGTAGCCTCAACTTTGATTTAAAAAAAAGGTTTCATTTCTGTCTGATAGCTAATAGTTATAAGGACTGATAGTAATTCCCAGTATCCGTTGTTTTGATGGTCAGGTCCTTTGCCTGACTGCATCTGGTGTTTAAGAACATAGATACTTTGTCAAGGACAGTTTGTCTTCCTAAAACCAAGCTGGAATGGTGTTTGCTATCAGTACTGTCCCATCAGTTTTATTTATGAGTATATCTGTTTCTCTGCTGACACGGTGCACTATGGTTACTGTTGGATCGCTGTCCTAGGGATTCTCAGGAGTGTTCATGCTGTCAGCCAGCCAAAGGCTCTTCTCTCATGAATGACCTATGGCTGGAGTGGCAACTTCATTGAGTCTTGAAATTACAAGGTGCTCTGGAGCCAGGATGGAGGAGTACACTAGCCTGTTCCTGCACTGAGTGGTTTTTCACTTCTGTGAGATTTAAAAGACCCAGCAACATCTTTCAGTCTCAGTCTGATAATTAAATTATCTTCACATTAAAAAATGCATTTCTCTAGTATGTAATAAAGTAATTTTTTAAGAATGAGCAATTGTTCTTACTAAGAGAAAGTAAAAGCATCTTAATCTATGCATTAGATTAGAGAGGTTCTATTTATTCCAATTCATCTCTTTATTTTCCTTGCAGCAATCAATAGTCTATTAAGTAGTCTCTGCAATAAACTTGATTGCATACCCTGTCAGGCCCCACAGTACATGGTGAGTTAGGACTGGGAGTCTTTATGCTTTGCCAGGGAGATTAGACTGCAAATAAATTATTTTGGCATATTCCCAGGTCAAAAAGACAAAGCACCTGTGTGAAACCATTATGGGATATATCACATACTGCTAGTTTAATTGGTTAATACAGCACTAGTTGCTGAATAATTGAAGCATTCTAATCAAGTAAACAGATACTTTACTTGCTTTCTTCTTATTCACCCATTGCTGAAAATAAGAAGGTGCATTGGAAAAGCAAATTGACTCTGGAAAGAGGTTTAAATTCACCCTCACGAGAATGTTAGCAACCTTGGAAGAATATAAATCAACAGCCTTTTCTCAGATCAGTAAATGAAACCATAATTCAGTGTTTTGTCTTTCTGAGGGGCAGTAATACCTGTGTGTGAATCTGTTCAAAGCCAAACAGTGGAGCTGTATTGTTTTGGTACTGCCAGACCTGAAAGGTTCTTCGTTCTTAATTTGTGAAAAAGGAAGTTCAGAAACTTTTTATTAAATAACAAAAAGAAAAAAAATATTTTTACTCAAAGCAGAAGCTGCTTCTGTCAAACCAACAATCTTCAGCCTTTTTGGAGTTCCCTGTTTCTCTTTAAGTGAGACTCAGAATGGTTTTAGAATTGTGGGCATAAATGCACAAAGTCACAGGATTGATTTGCTTGGACAGTCTGTAATTTTACATTTGCTGTTCTGATTTACAGTAGCAAAGAGTTTTATTTTGTTTTCAGGACGAGCTATTTTTGTGCCTCAGTATTTATATGCAGATGACATTGTGGCTTCCCAAATAACTGTCGAGAAGGATCAGCTTCAGTGCCTAAAATGTCAAACTGTGTCAACAATTTTCTATTTTGCTAAGGCTTTTTTCCAGTCCTTGGGTTTGTCAAATTTTTCATCTGAGGCTTGTGGATATTTGTTGACTTGCTGAGATTTTAAGGATTCGAGATGCTAAGTGACCATAGCAAAATTGAAATGGGTATATAAAAACCAAGTGGTGATTGCACTTTGTGGAATGTACAACAGAATGTTGAGGGAGAATGGGATGGTAATATTAAAGAAGATGCAGATTAAGCACAAAGATGTGAACAGCAGCAGAGTACAATTAATTGCCAGTTCTGATGCTAACAGAGCACTCAGTGTTACACCATCTATGCCAGAATTTCTCACCTTTTGGAACTCAGTGTTAAGATTTTCATTACATCTGAATTTTGCTGTCCGTTTTACATACCCCTGAGAAGCAATCTGTAGTGCCATCATTTGAACACAGCACCAGCTTGGTTTAGATTTCCTGCTTCATATTATTACCTGATTTCTTTCTGAGTGTTTGCAGTCCACTGTGCAAACTGGTCCAGGCACTGGCTAAACTCTTTTTTAAGGACAGGAGTGTGATGATGATAGTAATACCCCAGAAGTGAACATTTTCATATTTTACCTTTATTTTTACAGGATGGAGTTAGTAGAAACATCACTGAAAGACAAACCATTTCTGTGCATTGTTTTTTGCATATTGGAGATTAAAGGGAAAGCACTGTAATCAAACACTCAAGTAATTTCATTCCCATCGAGCACCTGGTAGTTCCTGCACTAAAGGAAGCCTCAGTGAGAGTTACCATGTCATTCACACTTTGTGTAGCACAGTTTAGTAGGTCAGTGCTCTGTGTATGTTCCTTAAATCCTGACTGCTCAGAGTTAATCATCTGCAGTGTTTGTGCCTAATTTGGGTATCAGCTTCCTCAGTAGTGTGCAGTTTAGTCAATCCCTTTTATACATTTCCTCTTTTTTTAGAAAATTAGTCCAAGTGTATCTTCTTTGAACCTGTGATTTGTGAAGGAAAGTTAAAGAATGAGTCCTGGCAAATGTTTGTTACCTGTGTGTTTTGTTCTGTGAGAGCATATTCAGAGTTTGTTAAGTGCCTCTGTGTTTTGAGGTGCTGTGATGAGATAGCCAGTGCTTTCCTCTGCTTTTAAATGAGCAGCTATTCCTCATGTTTATGCATATGACGGGTTTTGTTTTTCAAACCAGCCATAGTGAGTGATGTTATGTGTGTATAAACAATTCCCAGCCTTTCCATGCTTTTCAGCTTTTTACACTGAGGCAGTACTAAGAAATCATGTGTACAAGGAACTTGGGAGACTTACTGGCTGTTGCAAGGCATGTGGAAGGCAAACTCTGCTGCCTCTGTAATGATTAAAGGACAGCAGAGAGAGGAGGGCAATGCACAGTAATCTCTGGCACCTCAGGAAGTTCTCAGCTCTGCTGTGTAAGGTGGAGTGCCCTTAGCATTGTTAGAAATACCACATTATTTCTGTATTTCTGCTGGTTGGAGCATTGATGTCGGTGTTTTAAGGCGTTGTTTAAGTACTTACTCCTTTTTAGCTCTTTGAGAAGATTGTATTGCACCCTGAAGTTCATTAATATTAACAAAGGCATTCACAGTTATCATGCCTTGTTACTAAGAGACCAGCATTGCTGAAATGTGTGTTGCCCTTTGGAGTAATGCTTTCAGCCATTTGTCTGTGCAGTGGTAGGAGAATTTCAAAAGCTGTGCTCAAAAATATTTACCCTATTTGAAGTAAGCCAAGAATGTTAAGGGGTGAGGCTTAATATGACATTTAGCTATGCAGAACGTGTCTGAGGTAAGTTAGTAACTTGAAGAGCAAACACTAAAATAGGAAAAATTAAGGAGACTTTGCTTCCATTTTGCCTTTGTTTTGTTTCTTTGTGTTTTAAAATGCACATTTTAAAACCAATAGCTTCTTCTTTCCAGGCACATCAGGGGATGGCTGAGGTACACACAGTGTACTTCCTGAAAAAAGCCACAGTAATAAGTTACCTACTCTTTTTGTGTGTGTGGTGAAGAAAGTTGGTGAAGAATCTCAAAGGTTGTTTTAACTTGCTCTGTCTTCAAAGGTCTATGAAACCTTGTGATGCAGTGCTGCTCCTCAGTATCACTAGCAATCTCCACTGTGGTCTGTGAGAGAAGGAGATACAGAAATGAGCTTTGGGTTGGTCGGGGTATTATTTTACATGTTGTGGTAGTTTACAAACTGAAGTTAAAGGCCTTTGAACCAAGTTGAGCATACATAGAACTGAAATACAATGCTTTAAACTCAGGTCAAAAGCATAAAGAAATATACTGTGTGCATCACTTGCAGAAGTTAGCAACAGTGGAGGTAAGTGCAAATCCATTCTTGGTTTGGAGCAGGGAAGAAAGGTACCTGAACCAGAAATTTGAATTGAATAGCAGGAATTTCCCTGCACTGTGTGTGCAATATTCCTGTTCTGTTGCCTTGTAGTTGCCAATAAAGGAAGAATCCTAGCGAATGCCCTCGTGTTCCTGACACCTGGCATGATGAGGTGCTGCAGGCAGGACATGGTTCCAGTCATCCATTGTATACACAAACACAGTAATAGCGTTTGAAACATCCAGAGGAGAAGTAGGATTAGCAAACAAGGCCAGGTAATGGTTTCTGTGTAAAAGTCCTCAGAGGTGTGGTTGGTTTGCAGAGGCCTTTGGTGACTGTGTGAGTCTCTTGGAAAACAGGGAGTGCTTGGTCTTTCTCCCACTGTGCTTTTTGGCATGCTGCTCTTTATATCAGAGCATGGCACCAAAGAACTTACTGTGCTTCAGTGTCAAGTCTTTTCCTGCTGTTTCTCTCTAGTAGCAGCTATTTTGTTCTTCTGGGTATGTATGCTTTTACAGCCCTGGAATTCCAGGATTTGTCTTGCATCCTTGTGTTCAGGCTGTCCCAAAAGTTGAAGTTCAGCTCTGAAGCTTCTGCAAAATTTCCTTTACCAGGATTATGAAATTTCTGGTCCTTTGTTTTAAATGCTTGCCCTGTCCTGCCTGGCTGTACTATGCCTGCTCTTTTCTGTGCTGCCCTTCCCCAGCCTTCCAGATGTGTAGCAGCTCAAGTAAGCTCTCTTTTTACTTCTTTCTGGTCTCTTGCCTGGTCATTTTCCTTTGCACTTCTTTTCCTTTCTGTGTTAGATTCACTGTCCTTATTAAGGGATGCAAAACTCCATCTATGATTACATTTTACAAGTGATTTTTACAATCCAGGTCATCTAGCCCTGTTGGGTTTCTTCCCCTCTTCATCATGTCTCACCTTCATCCTGTCAGCCAACCTCCCAGCCCTAGACATGAGGCACCAGTGGCACTGAGGCGTTTGAGATGCTGCAGAAATAAATAGAGGCTGCTTTTTTCCTGATCCAGTGTCAAGCTCCAGGTAGAAACCTTTTGGAGTGGCTACAGAATTACTGTAGAGTAGCTAGTGATTGCTCTGTTTGATAGGTCTTCTCATGCTTCAGGTGTGGTTTTGTGGTGGAGGCCTTGGAGACTGAGATTGCAGAGGTGGCTGAGAGCTGCTGTTTCACAGTTCTGGTGTAGGAAGCCTGCTGAGGTAATAGTGAAAGTTCAGGGGTGATCAGTGCATACTGACTCTGTTTATCAGACTAGCACTTTCATTTTGGGGTGCTCGGGGGTGATCAGTGCATACTGACTCTGTTCATCAGACTAGCACTTTCGTTTTGGGGTGCTCCGTGTCACATACCTTTCTATTAAGTATTTATTTTCAGAATGACTGAAATAGAAGTGCACTGCAGTCTGTACCAGGATGGCTGTAGTGACTGGAGACCAGAGCTGCTGCAGGATATATGTGTCGTTTGAGAGGTTCCTGACTGCTCTGTTTTGTTCTTATTTCTAGATCGAGTAACCCTGCTCTAGATTATGCACAGCAATAATACCGAAATGTTTGAATATGTCATCAGAGGGACTGAAGTGTGTTTTTGTTTCCTTTGTGGTGCAGAGTGGTGGCGAACAGCAGACACACACTCTCGTCCCGGGGCAGCTTTTTTCCCTCCGCTCTTGGGAATTCCTCCCCTGTTTGCACCTCCTGCACAGAACCATGATCCCTCCTCGTTCCACTCCAGGGCTGCAGGAAAGGGCGCTCGGAGCAGCACGGACAAAGGTAATGGCTGGGCTGGCAGGAGGACAGTCACACTGAGCTTCGTGCAGGATGATGTGGAGTTTGAGCACTCCCTCTGCCCGTCCTTCCCATTCCTGAAGAGTTGTGTAGCTCTGGTTCTGCAGCTGAGCACGAGGCTCTCAGGAATGAAAGACTTCCACTAATGCTTCCCCCCACTTTTCCCTCAGGGAGTTTGTCTGAGTAGTGGGGAAAGGTTTTTTCTCAAAGTTTGTGGTGTGTTTAGGAGAGTTTGTAGGTGCAGAGCCAACACCGTTCCCGTGTGCCGCTGTTTGCCAGGGCACGGAGGGAGGGGAGGGAAGGCTGGCAGGGACTCACTGGGAGCCTATGGCACAGCCTTTTCCTGCACTCAGGCCAGTGGTTTATGTACCACTGCACATCTGGAAGATGGGAGATAGATGGGTTTGGTGTTTGATGCTAGGTCTGCTCAGCCTGGGGGAAAGGAGGCTGAGGGTGACCTTGTCCCTGTCCATGGCTGCCCCAGAGGGATGGAGAGGAGGTGCTGGTCTGACCTCTCGGTGTGTGGTGGGAAGGTGTCAGGGGTGGTGTAAAGCTGCTCTGGAGAGGTGAGCAGGCTCACCTGTCTGTGCTCAGGAAGCATTGGGACCATGCTCTTAGATCTGTAGATAACTTCAGGTTGTTCCCTGAGGGGTCAGGAGTTGGACTTGATGGTCCTTGTGGATCCCTTGAAGTTCAGACTTACAAATGGACAATTTCAGGTTGTTTTCTCCCCCCACACCTCTTATAACATTAACTGTGTTTGCCCTTTAAGTCATGTGTGCTCTGTATGTGTAAACTAAAGTAACTCCAGATCAAACTAACAGCAAATTTTTAGTGTATGTGGGGAGTAACCTGCAGACAGTGTAGTGTCTTGTTACGGAAGCTTAGGTTAGTGTGACTGGAGCATCTCAACGAGGTATCTGCTGCTTTGGATTTATTTCAAGTGTCGCTGAAAATCTGTCATCTGCAGGTATAAATGGATCAGTGAATGGGAACAGCACCACTGCGATGTCTGCTGTGACCTCCTCCGCGCTCTCCACCAGCACGGCCGCGTCGGCAGCACAGGTGAAGGCTGTGCCCTCGGCAGCAGGAGCACGCAAGTACAACCAGGAGCAAAGCAAAGTGCAGCTTCTGGACACCAGGGCTGACAAAATCAAGGACAAGGTAAATACACAGGAAGAAACTTAAGATTTGGACAGGGACTGGACACGATAAGTGTTACGACTGTGCACATCAGCATTTTTAAGTATTCTTTCCCAGTACAAAGTGTTTTGGATTCTTCTTATTTATTGGAGCAAGATCTGTGCTCTTGTCTCTGTAGGGGGTTTTGTGTTGGCCTTTGGGATTTTTTAAAATTGTTTTTTGACATATTTGGGAACCAAAAGTTACCGTTGGCACTAATTCCCCTGATTAATGGCTGTATGCAGCATCATGTTTTGTTTAATTTATCTAATTATGTAAGTATATTATTTTAACACCAATATTGGATATTATTATATTATGGTATAAATATTGGTGTTATAACATTATAAAGTCTGTATTTTAATGTAATTATGTTTTCATGTAACTTGCAAAAACAAGATGAAGGTTTTAGACATTAAAAGAAAAATGTTTTTATGGAAGTAATTTCGTATTTATCAGAAGAAAAAAGTATTTTTAGTGGCTATGTTTCAGCTTAAAATCTTAGCCGTCTAATATGAAAGACATGAGTAATCTCAGTGACTTAGTAAACCTCCTTATATTCTGACCTAAGCACTTTTCAAGAACTTTGCCACTTTTGGAATCAAAACTATTTAATCAAACCACAGGAAATGGTGTATTGCTTTGGAATGTAGTGATGCCAAGTGTTCTCTCAATGCCTGTGGTCAGGAAAACACTTGGCACTTTGTGACCAGCTTTTCATTTTCCTCATCTTGTGAAGCACTTTCTAAACACTTGGCACTTTGTGACCAGCTTTTAATTTTCCTCATCTTGTGAAGCACTTTCCCTTTAGTCTTCTGCAGAGTCAGTTGTGTTCAAGGATTGCAGATCACTTTACTCCACAGTCTCACTGCTCTTTGTTTCATAGATTATGTATAATAATAAGATGATGTAACAGATTAAAGCTGAGCCATTAATAAAGAATTCATCTTCCTGGTAGAAGCCCAGAAAAAAAGCAGTGGAAAGCTCCAGTGACAGTGATTCAGGCTCCTCTTCAGACACCTCGAGCGAGGGCATTAGTAGTAGTGACTCTGATGACCTAGAGGAGGATGAAGAGGAGGAGGAGGACCAGAGTGCTGAAGAGAGTGAAGATGATGAATCTGATTCTGAAAACGAAGCACATCACAAAAGCAAGAACAAGGTATAACACCTCACTGTGCTGCTCACAGTCTTGTCACTGCAAACTGTGACCAGTTGTCCTGTTTGCATCTGTGAGCAGTTATTTAACTGCACATTGATACATGCTAAGAATACTCTTTGTAGGTTTGCTTCAGGGTTTTCTGTTTGTGGTTGGTTTGTTTTGCTTCCTTTGTGTGCCTGCATGCCTGTGCATTGTTCTTTACAGGCTGAGAGCTTAACAGTTGGTTGTCTGCTGTTTCTGTGTGAGGTAGGAAAGGTAAAGAAATTAAGTACTGTGTGCTGATAGTGCTTTGGAAATGTCTTTATGGATATTGCTTTGCAGTGGCTTTTTTTCCTGGTGGAGGTTTTGCTTCCCTGGTAGGCAGGAGAAGAAGATTGGAGTCATGGGTATCCTGTTAGGTTTAGAGTCAAAAATGCACATTAGAACAACCGTGGTTTAATGCTCCTTCTCTGGGGGAAAACCAACCCTTAACAATAAATGTATTACAAGACTGATTTAAAAAATATTATTGTTCATCCACTGCCAAGAATAGTGTGATTGTTTGGTGGAGACTGATCATATGCTTTGTGTTTTTAAAAGGATCTCTAGCTTATGTAATGAACAGTCAAAAATACATATTTTGCAGGTGCTAATGCATAGTGGTGTCACAGATACAAAAACTGATGGACAGAAACCACATGAAAAGTCCCAAGAAAAAAGAACACACCAGCAGATACCTCTTGTGTCTGATTCCCAGACTCACTCATCATTCCAGTCCCAGCAGAAGCAGCCTCAGGTTTTGTCACAGCAGCTTCCCTTTATTTTCCAAAGCTCTCAGGCAAAGGAGGAATCTGTGAACAAACACACCAGTGTCATACAGTCTACGGGACTGGTTCCTAATGTGAAACCTTTGTCTTTGGTACATCAAGCCAAAAAGGAATCCTATTTAAAACTCATAGTTCCTTCCCCTGATCTACTCAAAGCAGGGAATAAAAATACCTCTGAAGAATCTCTCTCTTTGACCAGCGATGTAAGATCAAAACGGGTGAGTTCAGTGGTTTGGTTGTTTGTCACCTGTGTTAGCTGCTTGACAACATGCAATGATGTGCCTCCAGGCTCTTGGACATAGAATGTATTGAAATTATAAGTATGTGTTTTTTCACAGTTTGGGAGGTTTATGTGTTTTTAGAGTTGACCTGTGTTTCTGAATGGTGTAGGTTAGCTAGACTGTGTGGGTCATGCACCTCTTAAGGACAACACGCAGCTAAAATCAGAATATCAACATAAGAAAAGTACTCGGGGAGAAAATTATGTAGCCTGGATATATTTCCTGTGCTTCTAGTTCCAGTCCAAATGTTGATTTAATACTTCACATCTCTGGTCTGTAAACGGGGCTTCACTTTTCATCAAGTTGGATTTCATTATTATAGGTCAAACTAGTTAAAATCCCCTTTTTAATCATGGTCTTAAACAAAGTATCTGAAAGCCTTTTTATCAAAGGAATGCTCAGTGTAACCTTGAGTTTTGTTTGCTCTTTAAAGACATATTCATGCACTGATAGCTGTTAAAACTCAATATGGCCATTGCAATAGTTTTCATAGGATCCCAGAACCTTTTGGCTTAAAGGAACCTAAAAGCTCATCCAGTCCCACCTGTGCCCTGGGCAGGGACACCTCCCACCAGCCCAGGCTGCTCCAAGCCCATCCAACCTGGCCTGGAACACTCCCAGGGATGGAGCAGCCACAGCTGCTCTGGGCAACCTGTGCCAGAGCCTCAGCACCCTCACTCAATTTGATCTTCCTTTTTCCTGTTCAGGACTGTACAGTGTGTTTGTGTGTGTCTGTCTGAACAGTTGTGCAGCTTTCAACAACTGTTTTAGATTCTCCATTTGTTTATTTTGTTAACAGTGATTGTGGTGATCGGTGGTGAAATTTCAGTTAGAATTGAGTGAGGATTAGGGGAGAATTAAAATGTAGCATGTTATGAACACTGGGGCTTGGGATATATGTACAAAAAATACAGTTACCGAGGCAATTTTCATAGCTGTTATTTTATTGCTTTCAAATTTTGTTTAAAACCAAGTAGTATTGGGGAGGAGTAACAAGAACTGTGATTCACAGCAAGCTGTCAGGCCTCAGTGAGGGCTGAAACATACTTACTTTTTATTCCTAGATCAGAAGATAAACACAGTTTTTGTTTTCAATTCCCAGTTACTTCATACAGTTCAAATAAGCTTGTAATTTACCTGAAGTGACCAAATAAATCACAGTTATGAAAACATACATCTTTGCCTTTGGAAGAGGCTTCTGCTTTCAGGTGGAGGTTATGAGTCTTTAGCTGGTGATAGATTGCCCATTTAGTGGTTTGATTTCTCTGAAGCTTTTGCTGGAGACATGCACTGTGTGAATAGTTACTTTAGAGATTTACCTAATTCTATACTCACTTTTGAATGTTAGTAACTTCAGGAATGTATTGTGTTTGATTTAGTTTAGAAAAATTGAGTTAAACTGTACCATCTTTATCCGTTTTATTATGTTTTCCATCAAAGATGATAAGGTGGGGGTTTTTTCCTTTGGAAGAGTCTTTATACTAAAGACAGTGTAAGCTTTACATGCATTTCTGAGCCACTACTGATTAAGTTTTACCTGAAGGACATTTAAGTACCACTGTTTCAGTTAAAAAATCAGCATGTCACAGCACTTCTGAGTAAAACCTTTCCCCCCCCTTTTTTTTTTTTCAAACAGCATTTTTCTATGCCAAGAGTCTTCTGCTAGTATTGTGGCCACTAGTGTGTTGTATTTGCCTCGTGCTTTCAGATGGACAGGTTATTAAAGGTAGCTGTACATTCCCTAGGGAGATTTGTGTGTCCTGCAGTGGTAAGTGGGGATTTCTGTGCTGGTGCACAAGAGTAGTCTCCTGCTAAAAGTTTCTTTTTTCAAGATGCTTAATGAAAAGCCTGGTCTTTATAAAAGTCACTGTCTAGAGCAATGCAGAGGTGAGAGAGCTTCCCTACATAATTTGGATCAGCTTCATCCTGAGTTCAATTCATCTTTCCCACTTGATTTACAGTGAAAAATCACCCAAGCCTTGTGTGACTTGTAGTTACACTCATCTCTTCTGTTGTAGCTAGTTCCTGCTTTTGACCTACTAAATAGTTTGCAGTTGGTTAAAATTTCCTAGAGTTCACCTGCTTGAATAGTAAACCAAACCAAACAAACAGCTCCACATTTTATTCCTCTGTCTTCTTATTTCTTTAGGAACAATACAAACAGACATTCCCAGCAGCTCAGCTAAAGAAACAGGAATCATCTAAGAACCTGAAGAAGGTTATCGCAGCTTTGTCAAGCCCCAAACCAACATCTAGTTCACCAGCTCATCAAAAACTCACATCCTTGGAAAACAACCATTCTAACCCATTCCTGACCAATGCACTTTTAGGTAATCACCAACCCAATGGAGTTATTCAGAGCGTCATCCAGGAGGCTCCTCTCGCACTCACCACGAAACCGAAAGCGCAGACCAAGCTCAGTGAGAGTGTAGCCATCCCTAGCAGTGCCCCCTTTGCTTTGCCAGTAAACTTGAGTGCGTGTGGGAAAAAGCCAGCCGGTAACCGGACACCCGCCGTGCCCTCTACCTCTCCTGTGTTACCTGGGTCAGGAAAGGACAAGCCAGTCAGCAATAACGCGGGGAAAGCGCAGCACCGCCTGCCCTCGGCAAAGCTGGTGGTGGAGCAGTTCAGAGGGGCAGACTCAGATGCCCCCAGCAGTAAGGACTCTGACGACTCCAATGATGATGACGACGACGACGAAGATGAAGATGAGGATGATGAAGATGATGATTCTGATGATAGCCAATCAGGTGGTTTAACCTTTTTAATAGGAAAAGCAGAAACTTTTATTTTTTGAGTTTTGAAAACATGCATTTCCCACCATATTTTAAAGCAGGGGTAGGAAGTGTTGGGCCAGAGTGGCCCACACAGTGTCCTACAGGTACCCTGGGAAGTAACACATCTCCCCATCACCCATTGTCTCATATCCAAAGTTATTTTTGGGGTGTTCTGATCCTTGGGCAGCTGTCCTGGTGAGGTGGCTCCACAGCCTTCTGGCAAGGCTGTCAGGAACCTTCCTTTCCCATCCTGGCTAAAACCAGGACACCCAGCCTGCAGCTCAGGGACTGCTGATGTCACGAGGTGCTCAGGAGGGGATGGAGATTAAGGCTGGTTGATGGTTAGTGATTCTGGCAGGCTGCAAAACAGGCTTCCCTGACCAGAGAGGGACTAAACAAAGGCCTTCAAACTGTCAGGAATGGCAAGAAAAGTGTTTCTGCTCCTCATTCAGAACCTCAGTAGTTGGTGAGCAAGTACTAGGACAGTTGTAAGGGCTGCAGTCCAGACTGCTGTTTCCAGGACTCTGAAGCAATTTGGAGTGGCAAGGCCTGTTTTAGAGAGTTGATTGTATTCACAGTCACTCCTTTCTCCCCTGTGTGCTGATATTTCTTGGGTCCAGCCTCCACCTTCATCATTCTCTTCCCCCTTTCATCTACACACCCTGTACTAATCTTCTGTCTCACAGCTCTAGCCCATCTTTAATTCCTAACCCTGCCTTTCCTTGGCTCTAACTCTTCCTTTGCCCAGGTTGCCATAGTTCTGATTCTAACACCTTCAGCCTGTACCCAGTTCTGTTGTTTTCTTCCTCTTCACTGTGGATTTCACACCCTGTGAAATGCCCTTCCTGGGGTAGTGCCCAGCTGCTGCCTGGTTTCCATGGAGTGATGTAGCTGTAGCTTGTTCTAGGGTAAATAGTCTCTTAAAGTAGTGCAGCTTCTGTCATTCATCTCTTTCCATGCAAAGGAACAGTGCATTGTCAGGCAGAATTATTTTATGCTGTCATATCTGTAGTAATTTTAAAGCTTAGGTAGTTAATTATAACCTTCTATTTATACTCAGGTGGTGTTATTAAAAAAGCATATTTAATAAGACAAAAGACTTTGCAAGTGTTAGAACTTTAACGTATTTGCCAGTAGCTATCAAGTCATAATGTGCCTTTTTGCCACACTTCTTTTTGAACAGAGTCTGACAGTAATTCTGAGTCAGATACAGAAGGGTCTGAAGAGGAAGATGATGAGGATGATAAAGATCAAGATGAATCAGATACAGACACTGAGGGAGAAAAAACTCCGTTGAAACTGAACAAAAGTTCCTCCTCTGTGAAGAGTTCTTCCATGGGACTTGCAGCTCATTCCACCCCACTTAACCTCCAAGTAGCCAAGCCCCCCAGCTCTGCACCAGCTGCCTTATGCCCTGAGGCCCAGCCTGCAGTGTTCCTCGGGACAGCTCCCTCCACCCTGACGCCAGGCA